AGATGGTTTAAAAATGGCACCACGATATTATTTGTGGCGTGTGCCTCAAATAGGTCTTGGATCGCGCCTCGCTTCCGCTGTACGCCTCGGACGGCGACGTGACCTCGCTCCTCACACTCTCCACGGCGTCCTCTACCAGGGCGAAGTCTCATTTTCCAACGCAATGTGGTCGACCGCGCGACTGGGTGGCATGGGCCAAGAAAAATATAAAGAAAAAAATATAAAAAAGTTTCGTACACTTGGTGTTGAGTGGTGCTTCTCCGCACAACCTAGCCTGTAAGAGCCACAAGACTGTAGAATGGAAGCCATTCGAGAATTGTGTTTGCTGATTACAAGGCGTCGGGTCGTACCAAGCAAAGCACCGAATTTCAACCGCCAGTGTACGAAGCACGCCGGAAGTGTTTCTTCAACACTTGCCAAGTCTAACAGCATCGTTTGACAATGTCCAAACGGCCTTTGGTTGTTTAAACCAAAAACGTCCTGGATATCCCCGGGAGGATGCCAGCCATGGTTCTTCAGAGGGATCGTGTCCAGGCATAGCTAGGATCTGGATCCGAAATCAGGTCGTTGCGTATTCCCCACGCAAGCTTTGCATCCGTCGGCCAATGGACGTCCGGGCAAGCTTCTATGCTTTCTGAAAGGTCCTCTGCAACGCATAATGACGTGGCACCCGCATTGGTCACACACGTGGCGTCCTGTAGATGCGAACACCGCGGAGACTTTGCGGCCTACTATGAATCCTCTCCGTGGGTAGATTGGGATCATGACGCGACGCTCGTCATGGGGTACAAAGCTCTTCCAACCTGCGTACCGTCGGGAGACGCGTGTGACTATTTTGCATGGCGTTGCTTGCATCTGCATATATATGTATGAACGTGTTCCGCGTTATCTTCATTATGACACAAAGACTTCGCATACGTAGCGCTACGCCTGAATGCGTGGGAGTTGGCTCCAGCACTTGGTCGTTGGGAGTGAGCTGCGCACGGAGAGATCCATCCCGTGGTGGACCCCACTCGCCGAGTCATAGCTCGCGCGAGGTCGTACGCAGCTGCATGCCACAAAATCAAAAAACAAAACGTTCAATCTACGCTGACGACGTCACGGCCCGTCGTCCGCGCTTGAGATCGCGATGATCACGCGCAACAACGAGCGCCAAGATGATGACACGACAAAGCTTGATGATGTGAAATATCTTTTTCGCCTTCGCAAGGCGCCGAGCGACCAGATGCGCCTAGAGCGCGGCCGTACAGAGACCCTTAGCGACGGCCAAGATGCCGAACGCGGCATCTTGCGGTCGTCACAAGTAGCTCGTGCGCGTATATGATGAGGTGCTTGGCCTCGCGCAGTCTGCGGCTCGAATGCCTCGAGTTTCCCTTGGGCATTTGGCCAGCGCGTTGAGATCCGCGACCCACTTGCATGCGAGCTACAACAAACGGGTGATGTGAGAGCTCTCGATAGCGCAGATAGAGCGCAACAACCTCGATTTCGCGCATCCCGGACAAACGACGAGCCGCGTGATCGCGTCAGAGACGACCGCTTCGCTCTGTCCTCAGTCGTGTTCTAGGTTGACCAAAGTATTAGCGACAGAGCAGCCATCGCCCCGAGATGTACGGCTCGGCAATTGAGCTCGGGCACGTGCGTCTTGGATGAATTGGAAGGCAAGCAGTGACGGGGTCGAAACGTCGTTTGCCACTGGCACCTAGTCGCTCTGTGAGACGTACATAATGCAAAGGAGGGCGAGGCTACTACTTCCGCTCGTTGGTACCTTGAGCTACGAGCGGATCCGAGGCGAGGTTTATGGCGGGCGGTATCTTGGCGTTGGCCCACAGGACTGGCTACCGTGTGCGAGAAGCAAGACGTCATGCGTGAGGCGCTAGAGGCAGGCATACATCGGACTCGGCGCCACGAGATGCCATGCCCGAACCCGATGTGGCGCTCGCATAGCTCCAGCGCCGTCCTTGCTCGTGGTTACTGGCTCGTTTTGGACTCTTGTCATTTTGGATGGCGTCCGGATATATTTCCGGATACGTCACCAGAAGCGATCGAACGAGCCACGGGTCGAGGCCAGCGTCCGCACTCCTCGCACCAGCGCTCGGGCTGTCGCTGCCATCGTTTGTCCGACTATATAACTCGTAACAAAGGTCAATAAACAGTTTACTGACCCTTGCCCGTAGTTGGTGCATAGACGCCTCGCTGAAGTGCAAGCACCTTTCGACCGCCACGGCGCCAACGGCTGTGACGCTGCTGATGCAAGCAATGTGGGTTTGACCTGGTTTGACCCAGTACTGGGCACTGCCAATGGCGGCGGCGCGGCTCATGACGCAGAGCTACTACCGCTGATAAGGCAGCGTCGGTCGTCGGCGACAGAGACCAAGCGGGCTGCCGCAGCGATCTGTGGTCGACACGGACCGGTCCTCTGGAGACCACAGAAAGAACAAAGTAGGAGCTGCAAAAGATAGCGCTAAACGCAGAGCCAAGATCGACACTCGTTCGACCGCACCCTCGCCAAGTGACGGGCCGAGTCCTTGTGCATGTTGGACAATCGAGTATAGAAGCTCGTCGTCATCGAGCTATTTGCAGTGAGCGTCGTTCGGGAGTCGCCCGGGCAACCGTTTGCGTTCAAAAGAGGGTGTGTGATGCGGAGTAGACTGCTAGAAACGATGGATCTCATGGGACCGTACCCTTCTCGCACCACTCATTTGTGCATCACCGAGTTGAGCATACGTGGCCATGGCCTGAGGTACCACTTAGTAGGGCGACCTCCGCCAAGGGCATGTGGCACCTCTCACGAAGACGTCTCGGTACTTGGACTCGAGAACGCACACTGCGTCAATGCGGCGGCGACTGCCGCTAGCTCGCTATTCCTTGAGGTTGGGATCCGGAATGGTCGTGCCCACTTCAACTTGGCCATCAACTGGTCGTTCCGGTTGGAGTTTATTTAAATTCACATAGAAAATGCAAGGTCTCGTCGCATTTTATATTCAAAGATCGGATACGCGTATCCGGCGCAGCAGCTATCACATCGCAACCTGGTCGGTCGAGCGCAGCCCCATGATGCACCAACCAGGTCGGGCGACGATGGTGATCGGAACATGGACTGACGAAGGGCTGGTAGACGCCGAGATTGAGCTCGCGCTGCGCCACGACACGTCCGAGAAGGACCGCCTCCTCGCCTCGCCACCGCCGACCACGCTCCACCGCGAGCCCGTCGAGTACGTGGCCATCGTCCCGTACGGCGCGTCGACCATGCGCCTCGCGCTCTACGTGCTGCTGTGTGTGGCGTCCGGCGGCGTCCTTTGCATCGTCGTCTCGTGGTGGCCGCAACTCTTCACGGTCGTCGCCCGCGCGCATGGCGTGAGTATGGGCGACGCCGACTACGTCCTCGTGACGGGCGCCAACGGCGAGGTCGAAGAGGCCACCGTGTACCACGAGGACCCGCGCTTTCGCTGGTTTGAGTTCAAGAAGCAGCGCTACCTCTACTCGTCGGCCAAGCACAAGTTTGAGCGCGGTACGTCTCTCGATCTCCGATCGACTTGCGACGGGCGAGGTTAGTGGCGTCGATCTTGCACGAGCGCTGCGGCGCTGCGCTCCACCGCCTCGAGACGGGCTTGACGACGGCGCTGGTAGACGAGCGGACGCGACTCTTTGGCGCCAACACTATCGAGATTCCGTCGGCGCCGCTGCACCGGTACGTCCGATACGAGTTGGGCGATGAGTGAGATACT